ACCCCTACATGTGTGCGTGTGTGCGCGCGCTTGTGTGTGTGCGTGTGTGCATGGGTGCGTGTGTACGTGTGTACGTGTGTGTGTGTGAGAGCGTGTGCACGCGCGTGTGTGACTGCCACATACCGTCTCTGACATAAGCATCAACCAGTGATGATGACATGTTCATCTATTCATGGTGACTGTTAAATCTTACCTGCAGAATGAAAAATCTGCAGTAAACAAACTTATATTTCGGTTTCTGAGTACACTGTTTAAAAACACTTAATACGCTCTTGATGTGTACGTATGTGTTCGGTATACGTTCGTGTGCATTTACGTTTTGCGTCCATTCGTGTGTGTACGTATGTGCGTGTGTGCGTGTGCGCGCGTGTGTGTGTGTGTGTATATGTGTGTGTGTGTGTGTTTATTGTGTGTGCGCGCGCGTGCGTGTGCGTGTGTGCGCGCGTGTGTGTGTGTGCGTGCGTGTGCGTGTGTACATTGCCCGCGCGTGCGGGTGTGTGTACGTGTGTGTGCGTGTGCGTGTGTACGTGTGTGTGTGTGTGTGTGTGTGTGTGTGTGTGTGTTTTGTGCGTGTTCTTTTGTCGTCCGTATTCATGGCAACGCGCGAATTCTGTGACTCATTGATTATCTATAACGCATTGTATTTGTTTTTGATTATTTGATTCTATTCCAATGTCTGCTGACCTGATGAAGAGATGTAATCTCGAAAGCTTGTCAATTAAACTTTAAACACCTTGTCTGTTGTCTGGAGGGCCTGCATATAAGGCGTTTGAGCGTCTGCTACAATTTCATCGCTTGATAAGAGGCCCTCGTTGTGCTATGCCTGGACATACAACCAGGATGGACAAACATCAACGCCAGGCGTTAAACTAGAGTTGAGGTACAACAACACCAGAAATGCAGTGAACATTGACATACAGTCCGGGTGAAAATTCAGCCAGAGTGGACTTCAAATCAGGGAAGACTTTCATTCAATGTGTACATTTAACCAAGGTAAGTAATGTTTCATGAAGTTAGTTCGCAACGGCTCGGTTATTTTGCAAGTTTTTCAAGCTTGTGAAATACCACATGATGTGAAATCTATAGTATCACCGAAAATATCCATGTGTGTAAGTATGTAAAATAGGAATAGTCCGATGGAGTGCTAGCAGGAGTCCAGCCGTATTCGTGAAAAACCCGGTTCTCGTCTGTGAGATAATTTATTTGACAATTATATTGGTATATGTATGCGCGTGCCTGCGTCTCTCTCTCTCTCTCTCTCTCTCTCTCTCTCTCTCTCTCTCTCTCTCTCTCTCTCTCTCTCTCTCTCGCGCGCTCTCTCTCTATTGAAGGGTGGGGGGTGCGCGCGCGTGTGTATTTGTGTTTGTGTCTTGGTGTATGTGTGTAAGCTATCGAAAATTTATGCCTGCCAGGCGCTGTTGAGGTATATTGATCATATTAACGTGTAAGATCATGCTTTTATATCTATATCAAGTGGCGTTGGGCAGGTGGTCAGCGGAAAGTGGCAGTCGCCCGCTAAGCTAGGGTCAGGGTTAGGGTCAGGGTCAGGGCTAGCGGTAGGGGTAGGGGTAAGAGGTAAGGAGCCTTGACATTTGACATATGGCATTTGACATTTAGGAGTGACTGTGCCTGTGCACGTGAGTGTATATATGTGTGTGTATAAGTGTGCGTAAGCGGGTGCGTACGGCAAGCATTGGTAGTAGACATGGCACTGTTAACTATTGTGAATGCCTTGATAATCATTGCAAGCAGACTGGACCACGGCGACGAGACTGGTTAATTGGCTGGTGTTTTCTTGGCTGGTGTTGGCTAGCTTTCTTGCGATCTTACTGTCTGTTAGCAAGAAATGCGGTATATAAGCCGGTTGAGCGTGTGTTAACACAGCATTGCCAGATTGAAAGTTGGTGAGATTGGTTGTGCTTAGGCCGCTTTTCAAGAAAGTGCTGTAGGAGTGTCTCGACTAGTTTCACTTCATAATGAAGCAACGCATTCGGGAAGATGTTTATATAAGGTGATATGTTTTTCTTATTGAGTTAGTGTGTGTGTGTGGGGGGGGGGTGTCTGTGTGTGTGCGTTTGTTGTGTGTGTGTGTGTGTGTGTGCTGCGATGTGTGGTGCTTGTGCGCGCATGCCGGGCATGTGTGGCTGCGTTGCGTGGCGTGCGTGCGGTGCGTGCGTGTGTGTGTGTGTGTCTGTGTGTGTGCGTGCGCGCACGCGGGCATATGTGTGGGTGTGCGTGCGTGCGTGCGGGCGTGTGTGTGTGTGTGTGTGTGTGTGTTGGTGTGGTGTTGTGTTAACGCAGTGCCCATTGATTCGGTCGAGCTACTACGATGGCCTGATTGGCCCGCTGTACATGCTCCCTTGAATGGTCGGTGGCGTGTGGAGGCCGCCTGATTGGCCCGGTTAATAAAGGCTCTGATTGGTCTGGTTACTAACAGACCCCGATTGGTCTGGCTGCACTACCAGGCCCCTGATTGGTCCGGTTTCTATAGAACCCTGATTGCTCCGCCTGCTACGGCCCTGATTGGTCGGCTGTACAGGGCTCCTGATTGCGCGCCTGCTACGAGCACCTGATTGCGTCGGCCTTGACTTAGGAGGCCCTTATGTGTCAGCTGCTACGAGGACCCATGATTGCGTCGAGTTGCTAGGGCCGGCCTTGAGTTTGGTCGGCCGACTACGAGGCCCCTGATGGTCGGCTGCGTACGATGGGCCCCTGATTAGTCTGCTGCTATGAAGGCTACTAATTGGGCCGGCCTGCCCGGCTGGCCCCGGGGGGAACCAATCAGGGCTCTACGAGGCCGACCAATCAGGGCCGGGTAGGTGGGGGTCGGGACAATAAGGGGTGTCGTAGGCAGCCCACCAGATCAGGGGCCTCTAGCCAAGCGACAATCAAGCCGTAGTAGGCATACCTGAGCCCAAGTCAGGGCCTCCTCCAGCGGCAGACCAATCAGGCGCCTAGTAGGCGCTCGACAACCAGCGGTGGTCTGCGTAGAAAACTGAACGCAATCACGAGGCTCGCTAGCAAGCCGACAATCAGCGGGGCTGCGTAGCAGCGACATCGAGGAGCTGCGATGAGAGGCAGACAATCAGGGGGCCTTCAGCAGTTGACATCAGGGGTCTCGTAAGAAACCAGCCTAGGCCTGCGGTGCAGGCACAATCAGGGCCTCGTTGCAGGCGGCAATCCGGGGCCGGTACATGTGTGCGTATGTGTGTGTGTGTGGCCTGTGTGTGTATTGGTCTTTGTGTAGACGCGCTACATGTGGTGCGTGTGGTGGGCGCGGGCGCTTTGTGTGTGGTGGCGTGTTGATGCGGTGGGCGGTGTGTAGGTGTACTGTGTGGTGTGTGAAGCGGGGCGTGGTGCACGCGGCTGTGTGTGACTGCCAGCATAGCGTGCGTCTGAGGATAAGGCAGGGTAACAGATGTGATGAGGCGATGGTTGGATTCTATTCGCATGGTGACTGTAAATTTACCGTGCACGAAGTGAAAAATCGTGCGAGTAGAACACTTATATTGTCGGTGGTTCTGGGGTAGCGACGGTGTTGAAAGAAGAAAGCGGAGTTGATACGGCTCTTATGTACGTAGGTGTTCGTATACGTTCGGTGTTGCATTTTACGTTTTGGCGTCATTCGTGTGTGCTACTGTATGTGCGTGTGTGCGTGTCGCGGCTGTGTGTGTGTGTGCTGTTACTATATGTGTCGTCATGTGTGTTGTTTATTGTGTTGTGCGCGCGGCGTGCGTTGGCTGTGTTGTGTGCGCGCGTGTGTGTCGTGTTGGTGCGTGTGCCGTGCTGTACATTGCCCGCGCGTGCTGGTCGGTGCTTGTGTACGTGTGTAGTGCTGTGCCGTGTGATAACCGTGATGATGTGCAGTGTGTGTGTGCTGTGTGTGTGTGTGTGTGGTGTGTTTTTGTTGCGTGCTTTTGTCGTCTTCATTCATAGCCAACGCGCGAATTTCTTGTGACTCATTTGATTATCTAAACGCATTGTATTTGTTTTTGATTATATTGATTTATTCCAATGTCTGCGTGACCTGATGAAGAGATGTAATCTCAAAGCTTGTCAATTAACTGTTCAAACACTTATTTCTATACCTTGACTTTGTTTACTACTATATACTAGTACTATATTATATATACACAAAACAAATTCAAACTATTCATGTTAATGGGGCCGATAAGGTTTAATTACAGCGAGCTCGCGAGACGCCACTGCGGCACCAGCACGCCCCCCCCCCCCCCCCCCCATACCATACGCCCACACAGTACATAGGCCACGCGACACACGCCAACACACTCGAAATGGAACGCAAACGTACATGCAACCAAAAGTATACGAAACATAAGTGAACAGGAGTCTATCAATATTGATACGTACACATCAAGAGCGTATTAAGTATATATATATATATGTGTGTGCATTTGTGTGTGTGTGTGTGTGTGTGTGTGTGCTGTGTGTGTGTTGCTGTGTGCCGTGCACTGTGCGTGCGTGCGTGCCTGCGTGCGTGTGTGCGCGCGCGCGTAGGAGCATCACCTGCGCATTATATTTCTCACGTCTAAAGGAATTACTTAGGAAATTTTAATTAGTCTTTAGGAAATTTTTTCCCACTGACAAGTGAATCGAGCGCTGTGTGTGTGTGTGTGCTGTCGAGTGAATGGAATGCGCTGATTGGCTGTGGAAAGATTGTGGTCCGGAACTCAAGTGGGAAAAATAATTTCGCGCGCGGCCTTGCGTCTGCACACACGTGCGTGCTTGTGTGAGTACGTGGCGACATCATCATATCAGGAGCAAGATAATATAGGTGATATAGCCCCCTATATTATCTTACTCCTGATCATATCTAATCAAGATGTAGGGATGTAATTCAACTAATTAAATAAGCATGCAAGCGTAAAAAGCGTACGCTATGATGTGTGCTTCAAGCGTGGAGAATAATTTGCAAATGAAGTATATTGTTTTCGTTGTCCCCACTTTCACCGCAAATGAAACAAGGAGATGTAAATATGTATGTGGTACCTGGTATAACCATGTTATTATATTATATTTCAAGACAGATACTTAAAAATTCAAGAATAGTATATACGTATTCTATAACACACAGCAACATCAACAATATTGTCGAATTTTTGCACGAACGTTTATACACAGTTCATACTCTTGCCGGGCATTCACTGCACTTGGTATTCTAAAATCCAATGTTGCTTGTACTAACGAGTATTTTACATATTCAGTCATGTTTGTAGGAATGTAGTACAACAACAGATACCTGTGGGCTTGCCAGCAACTATTTATAACTTAACCCTCCGTTCCTATGGCTCTCGTAGAATGAAGGCAATATTTATAGTGTTTTCTCACACGCAAACGTAACTCTTCTAGACCACACACATGATGGGGCATAACTTTTCCCTTGTCTAACATCGATCCTTTTTGAGTTGCATTTCAAAGTTCGCGCATTTCGTTATATAAAACCATGAATCATTATCTTTCAACTGCCGCCACAAAATTCTATTTACACGTGACTGCGATAACGTTGAAGCACGTAAACACGTGTCTCCATTTCTCTTATTAACTAATGCGTATTTCACAACTATAATTCACCGTGCGGGGTTGGGGCAGTAATGCATACAATACCACTGTTAGATTTTTTCCTAAACAATAATCCACCATTTAAAACTTCCTAATGGGAATTGTGCGGACGTTCTCAGTTAAATTTTTGGTGTTAAGAGGGGGTAGAGGCTAACATCATTTTGGTGCAGATATTATTACCATTATATTGCAAAAAACGCCGACATTGACTGCTTTATAAGTACTACATGTTGCTTAGACAGTCTATGATACTAGCGTTTACACATCTTAATCGCGAAGAAGTTTCGTTACTATCACAAAATTGTTCACAAATTTCTGCAGTGCAACTTCCACATATCACAAATAGTTTTCAAACGTTTGCATATAAAGTTCCACTTCTTCTCAAATATTTACGTGACATCTTTGCTTTAAAAACCCCTGGCGTCTAAACATACACATAGTCGTTGTTATCATGCTTATCATCATCATCATCATCATCATCATCATCATCATCATCATCATCATCATCATCACTATTCTCATTATCATAGTCACCTCATAAAGTTACTTTTTCACTATTTCTCACTAAAATTCTAAAAAACAATTAACGTTAACTGACGCAGATGTATGCATATAGATGTTATCTCATAATCTATGCAAAGCAAAACGTGTAATCTTAAATGTAATGAACTACTGAAGCTTTTTGTACAGGCAGACAGTACAATGTAGACTTTTACAATGCAATTATTCTTGCGAAGTCGGCACATATGATATAAAAGTCATGCCAAATGTATATGCCATAATATATTTCCAAGCTCACAATAATTAAAGATCGTTGTTCATAATTAGCAACACTGTCTACATTCACAATAACTGTCAACCTGTAATAACAAATTCAAGGCAGTCCAGGGGCGATCTAGAGGTTGAAAGTAACCCTAGCTACCATTTTCCTTTTTGGGGGGAATAACCAAAAATGAACAACTACTATCAAAGTATAAAGAGTGAACAAAAACAAAATTGTTTCATTCCCTCCTGGTATTATGGCAATACAAAGAATATATCAATTCCAATCAATTTTATTTTCTTTGATTAGTGACCAAATCAATATGAAATGCAGAGAGGGCATGAATCCGGATTATACTAGGGGATGAATCCTACCTTATTAAGCTACCTGATCGTGTAAGATACCTGAGATCTTCTCCAGCAATCTTCAAGTCTTACAAGACAAGCATCTTAACTGAGACATCCACAGGCACATACCTACTAAACCCTCCGACACCACTAAATACCCTGCATTCTTCTGCACCCACCTGCAATGCCACCTTAGCTACAAATAAGCTATAATCCTTACGTGTAGCTATTTAGCAATACATGAGTTACAGCTTCTCAGTTTTGAGCATCGAGTTGAAGTCACAATAATGTTGGGATAAATCCAGGTATTATTTTACAGAGATTGTCAATGTAGACCAGCTGCACTCATTCACTGAGAACACATAACAAGCTTTCACTCACAGACCTAGCTCAGTAACACCTACTGTAGCGACAAACTGGTATGGAAAGGGGGACCATAGATGAGGCTTGCTCGGTGGTATAGAGACGAGAGCACAATTGATGTCCTCTCAGTAGCATGTAGAATGATCAGAATGAATGGCTCTTCAGTGGTACCTTGGCCTCACAATATCACACTGTTGAATCTTCTCATCCTTAGCCTTCCTCATATAACACAGCTGCAAGAATGCACCCAAAAAAACACGCTTAAATTAACGTCACTGTAGTGTTGACAACGCCTTGACCGACGCACACACAAAATATGTCATGCACATCTAAACTTCATAGTGATCATGTGTATGAAGTTTCATTGGAATCCCTTAACGTTAACCGTTTAAATCAACGTCACTGTAGTGTTGCCGCCAGTTTAAAGGCCATGTAACCAGGTGTTTCTAAGTTAAAAGAGAGCACCTTTCTGAACTATTTTTGATTTTTTCTTAACTTTTACGATCATACTCTTATTTATCCACCATTATGCAGCTCACTTCATGTCTCTACTTTTAAGTTTTTATTTGCACTCTGACCAGAACTTAATCATACAATATCACAGAAAGAATTTTCATCTTCAGATACTTGCCTTTTTCTTTGACATGAAGCTTTGGAGAAACTTGTCTATGGGCAAAGATCCTAGAAAAAAAGCTTACCACTAAAATCATACAATCAAGGTAGGAAATAGACATAACACCAGTTGATGTAAAGTTACAACAAATGTCGATGGACAATCAATAAGTGAAATACAGTTTTTCAATACCTATTTAAGACGGACTTGAAACGTACCACCCAACATGCCCAATACTCCACATAGGACTACTGACCGATACTATGATGAATTGACGTAATCCAAAAACAGAATCACTCTGATCTTGTGGAACGCACTCCACTGACCTGCTAAGAACTCCTCAGCGATCCCCTCACTCTCTTCCTCGGCTTCCTGCGTTGCGATGCGCAGTCGTAGCTGGACGGTGGTTGGATCGTACTGCCGGCTGCGCTCATGCTGGCTCTGGCTGTCGGCATCAAACTGCCATCGCAGGTCCGTAAGTGTGTCGATCTAGTGACAGAAGGTGGCACTATAGAATGACTACGAACAACAGCAAACTACAGATGCAGCTCAGAGTTCTTTCCAAGCCTTTAACACACGTCGGATCTGACATGCCTTCAATGTTGAAGTTGATTTATGACATCCAATCAATCTTGCGACATGACTCAATTGCCTAATCGATATGACTCAATTTCCAGCTGTGCCTAGTATTGAAAACAGTAACAAAGTCATGTTGTTTTCGTATGTTGATGTATACGTCTCCTAACTGATCGAGTTTACCTATGTATTAGGGGTAGGATGATTTGGGTCTCACGATACAACTTTCAAAATATGATACGTATGGTGACACTTTTAAGAGAAACTACCTAGAAAACTATAGATTTTACGAGGACTCTACCAATCATGTAAACAAGTACAGATCAGCATTGTGGAGTGTTTAGAATACATCTGCTATTTAATGGCAAATTGTACCATGTTTCTTTTGTTTTTTCAATGAAACTATGCTGCTAAATGATTATATTCAGTGGAGTTTCAATATGTGTATTGTAAATGGTCAAACGTATTGAGACATGCGTTGTATGTCTAAGTTTGTATCCAATACATCGATATATCGGGGAATCATCCCACCGTTACTGTGTATCAGGACCGCATAGGACACATGTAATTGACTCTAATTACCAATTGGGAATGCCAAATTACCCGACACGCCTCCTGAAATTCTTTGGGAACAACATGACTGTTGTTGGTAGGTCTCGCTTCATTATTTTTATGAATGCATGCACAGCTTGCTAACTATGATATGCACATCCAAACCAAACCAGGTTTCGTTCAACTGAACTATTAGTTCGAAATATTTGAGTTGAAAAACACATTGGGACTGTTACGATATGACAGTCATGTATCAATACCATATATGTACATCGTGATGACGTCACATCACAACATAAGAGCATTAATAAAATGGCTACATATAACTAATAACGTGGTTCAGCAGTGCCTCCTTATTATGGGCCTTCGGGCACGCTTCACAGGGACTACCTGTATAGTATCGGTTCCTCTAGTCGCACTTACCTTGTCTAATAATTTTTTCTTATGGTCTTCAATAATTGGTTTCTTCTCTAGATTCTGCTCTGAAAATGGAATTTAAACTCAGCTATCATCCTCAAAGACGGTACACTACCTTTTAAATAGCTATATAATTTGAACAAGGCAAGAAGCATATTACACACAAATCTATATCAGAATACAACTATACTGACTATGTCCTCAATGCAGAATTTATTGGCTATTCTATTCAGGTAGTACTGGTCATGTTTTATACACAGCCCTAACTGGTTATATAGTCTATGCTGAGCTTACTAGCTATTTGCTCATTCTGACTGGACAGCTTTTCACGATGTTCTGACAACTGCTGTAACACCGGTGTCGATAGCAGATGCTCTAGCAGCTTGTCGTCATCATCAAGCAAACCCTGCAGCTCTGGAAGACTAAAGAGAACAGGATTTTCTGTACACGTGAATACTTGTGTCTCTCTTACCTTGTGGTATTTACCACACAATAAAGCTGCAATATGCCATGTAAGCGATCATCGAGACGACAGGTTAACAATATAGGCCTATTATTGTTTGGATATTTGCATTTTTACCATTCTTAACGTGATCCAAATGTCTTGTTTTAAAAAAAGAATTAATTTACCTTAAACGTGATTAATTGTTCATGAAAACGTGTCCAAGGTTACTCTATATGTGCACAGGCTGACCTTGCCTTATGTATGACTACACATAAAAGGCAACTAATATGGCATGCATTAAATGTGCACAAAATCTCTACCTATAATATATAATTGTTTCGTAATGCAATAATATACTATGTACACAACAGTAATGTAATAACAGACTGCTTTTACCTTAGACTAGCAAGTTCTTGGAATGTTAGAGAGACCTGTGGCATATAATTTGGCACATCTGATGAACTAGGTGAACTCTGAAATTTAAACAAAAATACAAATAAAACTTGTATACTCTAAGTCAACTCATTTATTATATTACATTGGTGTGATGTGTACCTGGTAGCAACACTAATAGTAGTGTATCTTGTAGTAACTTTATATAGGGATGAACCTGGTAGTAACTATAATCAAATGTTTACCTGGTAATAACTATTAGAAGGTAAGGACTGGTAGCAACTGCTATCAGTACTGCTATGTATTAAAGGCCGAGTTGTGCTCATCTGCGTTGATGGTGTGTAGTATGGAGAAAAGCCATTTGGTGATTTTCCATTGTCTGAAAGAGTTTAAAACTTAGTATAAACAACAATTCTAAATTTTATTAGCATTCTATATTAATCATATCTGTTTCTGACTCTGCCCACGCATGTCCACCAATATGACATTTTAGTTACCTAACTTGCAGGTTGATTTAATTAATGTTACTTTAAGGTAAATGTAAATTAATTGTAATGATTGAGGCAAAAAAAATTCTTACATTTATCCTCAACATTATGGCATTCACTGGCATTACGTTTTGGAATTCCAAAATTGAATTAGTAAACTATGTCTACTAAATTTGGGATACAATGCATAAATTCAGCCACATAGTTTTCATGTTTTCGACACAAAAACTGCAATATGGCTAAAACAACAGTTTGGACAACTAGCCACCTGAACATTCTTAATCTGCCCTGCCTGACATAATAATTACTACCTTCCTGGAGTATAATAGTTATAATTTAACAGTACGTGTAGTGCCACTAACATGCAGAAAATTAAAAAAACTGCATTAACCGCAAATAATAATAATAGTTTTCGGGTGCCCTACTGGGCTACTGGGCTAGTGAAGAGATTCACAGTTTTAACTGGCAGGTGCCGCCGCATACAAGGCTCTCTTCTTGGCACCGCCGTTACCGATAACCGCAGATTAATCTATATAGATTACCGGTTTGGTTGGTTTTGCTCCAATGTTGCTGATCTTTTAACAGTGGAGGGTGGCGCTGAAACTCTTCTAATAGGTCTCTGACTACTTTGCCAAGATCAGAATGAACCTTAAACTAGGCAAAACACATAGAAAAACATAGCAATACTATCAGAAAAATGCAGGTCAACAAGTAAGCGTCACACACCACACATTAACACAACATAATACATCCACGTGTGTATAGCAGCACACTTTACAATATTCCTATCTAAGCAGGAAGTCAAGGAATCGGTTCTAGCAAGACATACTGCAGGAAAATCAACTTGATTTACAAGTGGTTTTGAGCCTGATCACGGCAGAGGCAACTCAACCTTAACATTGCAAGTGATTAATTTTAAACGAAGGATGCAAAATTTGTCTCATTAAATATCACTTAAATATACTCACATCGTTGAGGCCTTCACAACCAACAACAATACTATGTTTATTGCACCAGTCATGTACCACAGCAGGTATCACCCGTACAAGAGGGCGCTCTTGTGGAAACTGAGGTGGCAGCGTTCTAAAAATGTCAAAAAATGATATGTGCTTAGATAGACCAAAGGCAGCCCTGAAAGGTGTAATGGCCTGGTGTTGTGCGACATCAGAATTTTCTGGGTATTAACTGTTAAACCAATTTCTTGAAAAACACTGACAAAAACTTCATGTTATATAGTAATAACAAAAATTAATTAACAAAGTTTCATTATTTTAATATTAGAATTAAAAAAAATAAAATTAAGAATTATGAAATAAAAATTAAGACAGCAACACTTAAAAGAGAACTATTACAAGTACAACTACATTTCCTTAGGAGAGGGAGAACGAGGAAGTAGAATGAGACACTAACAGGGAGAATAAGCATCACGTGCACGCATGCCTGCACACACACACACATGTACCGAGCGATAGACACCCCCCCCCCCACACACACACACACACAGATAGAGAGAGAGATATATATAGATAGAGATAGAGAGAGAGAAAGGAGAAGATGGGAGAGATAAAGATGGATGTATCTTTCTGCACTAACAAAACTGTTACTTGCATGTGCTTGTAATAGGAACCCACACCTGGACAATTGGCAGCCCGGATATCCGCGCAAAGCGCGAAAAACGCTGAGTAGCGGCACACTAACACAACTACGCTGCACCGATTCTTACGCAATCAATGAAGCTGTACACATGAAGCTGTACACATGAAGCTGTACACAGAAGCTGTACACATGAAGCTGTACACAGAAGCTGTACACATGAAGCTGTACACAGAAGCTGTACACAGAAGCTGTACACATGAAGCTGTACACAGAAGCTGTACACAGAAGCTGTACACAGAAGCTGAACTTCTATTAGGAAGGCCCATCAGGACTAGTCTTCCTGGCCACCATCTTGCAGACAATGCATCCGACACGGAGCATCTCCTGCAGAGGCAAAATAGAATGAAGGAAACACATGACGCTGAGCAGCAGTGTGGAAGGATAGCACGGAGAACACAGTTTCGGATCGGACTGCGTAGTATGAGGCAGAATGCCCGACTTAAGTTTCTTTTCGTCGGGAACAAGTGACTGAGCTTCTCAACGTCAGCTCCGAGTTCGAGCCGATAGCGGCGCGTCAACGTGGTAATTCGTCCGTGGAATCGGCCCTCCGTGCGTGTAGCCGGCCCCCGGAGCGACGGCATCAACGGCGGTGGACTCGACCAGCGCGTATAGGCCGTGCATAGCGGGCAGATCTACGCAAGATAGCGACGTGGCGAGAACTGCGGCACCATTTAGCGCTGCCAAGCACCAGACATTGGACATGCTACGACGGATTGAATCTGAACTTAACGCATTGATCAGCAATGACAATCTAGACTACCAGAGTCTATATTTATCAAGCTCACACTCAGATAGTTCTTTTTTAAGACTGGACTTAGACCTAGAAGTTGGAAGTTGAGTGATCTGAGTGACACTAATCCACAGTTGTAGACGTTGCTGCATGGTTACTATGGTAATGTAGTGTCGATGGAATGTGTTAGATAATAGTAAGCAGTTGTTACGTGTGAATCTTACAACGTCAAAGGATTAGTATTTGACAGCGATGTTGTTGAAAATAGTGAATTACCGAATTTGCTTGGTATAGATGCTCGGAATTTCACTTTTATACTACTATTACTAGCAGAGGCTTATTTTGTTTTCGCTATACACACAGTCACAGTATGTGCCCATAGACGTAGTATTTAGTAGCTGCTCAGCACATACGGAAATAAGCAAGCCTAATCCTGGTTTTGTGGTACTTGTGTTTAATTGTTTGTATTATATATACACTAAATCAAACGGTATATTTTGGAACAATTTTGCATTGCGTAAACACACTCTGATTATATAACCACTCGATCAGGTCGCACAATTCGAAAACCGGCCAGATATCAGCCATAGTGAACATACACCCAGGTACGCGAATATAGTGAAAAGTCAGAGACGTGATTTTTCTTAGTTGGTGTAAGCAAGTATTGTTCTTTTGCATTATTTTTTTTTAAGGAAGGGAGGAGGGTACCAAGTTGGTCCCCAATGTGTTTTTAGTTGAAGGATATGGCAGTGTCAAAAGACTGCCGCTATTGTTATATTGGTTGTTGGGTCAAGCAAGTATTGGATCCATGTGTTACCTGTTAAGGTTTTCTTGAGAGTTAATAATATATGTCGTATAGGAAGCATAGGGAGGTACACTGAAATAATAGAAGCTTACTTGAGTACATTGTGATGCTAATCACTCTCGAATGGCCGCAGTATAATAGTATGGACAAACATTTATTAATTTAAGGTGTTATTAAAATAAGCAAGGTTGACTAAGAAGTTAGAAAAGTATAGCATTTCATGTTATGGTCAATGGCGTTGTATTGTACAATTTATTAGAACATGGTTCGTGAAAGGGGATTGTATTTAGCTTCAAAGAAAGGGGGATGTTACGATATGACAGTCATGTATCAATACCATATATGTACATCGTGATGACGTCACATCACAACATAAGAGCATTAATAAAATGGCTACATATAACTAATAACGTGGTTCAGCAGTGCCTCCTTATTATGGGCCTTCGGGCACGCTTCACAGGGACTACCTGTATAGTATCGGTTCCTCTAGTCGCACTTACCTTGTCTAATAATTTTTTCTTATGGTCTTCAATAATTGGTTTCTTCTCTAGATTCTGCTCTGAAAATGGAATTTAAACTCAGCTATCATCCTCAAAGACGGTACACTACCTTTTAAATAGCTATATAATTTGAACAAGGCAAGAAGCATATTACACACAAATCTATATCAGAATACAACTATACTGACTATGTCCTCAATGCAGAATTTATTGGCTATTCTATTCAGGTAGTACTGGTCATGTTTTATACACAGCCCTAACTGGTTATATAGTCTATGCTGAGCTTACTAGCTATTTGCTCATTCTGACTGGACAGCTTTTCACGATGTTCTGACAACTGCTGTAACACCGGTGTCGATAGCAGATGCTCTAGCAGCTTGTCGTCATCATCAAGCAAACCCTGCAGCTCTGGAAGACTAAAGAGAACAGGATTTTCTGTACACGTGAATACTTGTGTCTCTCTTACCTTGTGGTATTTACCACACAATAAAGCTGCAATATGCCATGTAAGCGATCATCGAGACGACAGGTTAACAATATAGGCCTATTATTGTTTGGATATTTGCATTTTTACCATTCTTAACGTGATCCAAATGTCTTGTTTTAAAAAAAGAATTAATTTACCTTAAACGTGATTAATTGTTCATGAAAACGTGTCCAAGGTTACTCTATATGTGCACAGGCTGACCTTGCCTTATGTATGACTACACATAAAAGGCAACTAATATGGCATGCATTAAATGTGCACAAAATCTCTACCTATAATATATAATTGTTTCGTAATGCAATAATATACTATGTACACAACAGTAATGTAATAACAGACTGCTTTTACCTTAGACTAGCAAGTTCTTGGAATGTTAGAGAGACCTGTGGCATATAATTTGGCACATCTGATGAACTAGGTGAACTCTGAAATTTAAACAAAAATACAAATAAAACTTGTATACTCTAAGTCAACTCATTTATTATATTACATTGGTGTGATGTGTACCTGGTAGCAACACTAATAGTAGTGTATCTTGTAGTAACTTTATATAGGGATGAACCTGGTAGTAACTATAATCAAATGTTTACCTGGTAATAACTATTAGAAGGTAAGGACTGGTAGCAACTGCTATCAGTACTGCTATGTATTAAAGGCCGAGTTGTGCTCATCTGCGTTGATGGTGTGTAGTATGGAGAAAAGCCATTTGGTGATTTTCCATTGTCTGAAAGAGTTTAAAACTTAGTATAAACAACAATTCTAAATTTTATTAGCATTCTATATTAATCATATCTGTTTCTGACTCTGCCCACGCATGTCCACCAATATGACATTTTAGTTACCTAACTTGCAGGTTGATTTAATTAATGTTACTTTAAGGTAAATGTAAATTAATTGTAATGATTGAGGCAAAAAAAATTCTTACATTTATCCTCAACATTATGGCATTCACTGGCATTACGTTTTGGAATTCCAAAATTGAATTAGTAAACTATGTCTACTAAATTTGGGATACAATGCATAAATTCAGCCACATAGTTTTCATGTTTTCGACACAAAAACTGCAATATGGCTAAAACAACAGTTTGGACAACTAGCCACCTGAACATTCTTAATCTGCCCTGCCTGACATAATAATTACTACCTTCCTGGAGTATAATAGTTATAATTTAACAGTACGTGTAGTGCCACTAACATGCAGAAAATTAAAAAAACTGCATTAACCGCAAATAATAATAATAGTTTTCGGGTGCCCTACTGGGCTACTGGGCTAGTGAAGAGATTCACAGTTTTAACTGGCAGGTGCCGCCGCATACAAGGCTCTCTTCTTGGCACCGCCGTTACCGATAACCGCAGATTAATCTATATAGATTACCGGTTTGGTTGGTTTTGCTCCAATGTTGCTGATCTTTTAACAGTGGAGGGTGGCGCTGAAACTCTTCTAATAGGTCTCTGACTACTTTGCCAAGATCAGAATGAACCTTAAACTAGGCAAAACACATAGAAAAACATAGCAATACTATCAGAAAAATGCAGGTCAACAAGTAAGCGTCACACACCACACATTAACACAACATAATACATCCACGTGTGTATAGCAGCACACTTTACAATATTCCTATCTAAGCAGGAAGTCAAGGAATCGGTTCTAGCAAGACATACTGCAGGAAAATCAACTTGATTTACAAGTGGTTTTGAGCCTGATCACGGCAGAGGCAACTCAACCTTAACATTGCAAGTGATTAATTTTAAACGAAGGATGCAAAATTTGTCTCATTAAATATCACTTAAATATACTCACATCGTTGAGGCCTTCACAACCAACAACAATACTATGTTTATTGCACCAGTCATGTACCACAGCAGGTATCACCCGTACAAGAGGGCGCTCTTGTGGAAACTGAGGTGGCAGCGTTCTAAAAATGTCAAAAAATGATATGTGCTTAGATAGACCAAAGGCAGCCCTGAAAGGTGTAATGGCCTGGTGTTGTGCGACATCAGAATTTTCTGGGTATTAACTGTTAAACCAATTTCTTGAAAAACACTGACAAAAACTTCATGTTATATAGTAATAACAAAAATTAATTAACAAAGTTTCATTATTTTAATATTAGAATTAAAAAAAATAAAATTAAGAATTATGAAATAAAAATTAAGACAGCAACACTTAAAAGAGAACTATTACAAGTACAACTACATTTCCTTAGGAGAGGGAGAACGAGGAAGTAGAATGAGACACTAACAGGGAGAATAAGCATCACGTGCACGCATGCCTGCACACACACACACATGTACCGAGCGATAGACACCCCCCCCCCCACACACACACACACACAGATAGAGAGAGAGATATATATAGATAGAGATAGAGAGAGAGAAAGGAGAAGATGGGAGAGATAAAGATGGATGTATCTTTCTGCACTAACAAAACTGTTACTTGCATGTGCTTGTAATAGGAACCCACACCTGGACAATTGGCAGCCCGGATATCCGCGCAAAGCGCGAAAAACGCTGAGTAGCGGCACACTAACACAACTACGCTGCACCGATTCTTACGCAATCAATGGGTCCAGTATAAACGCCAAAGCCGTATAATCGCTGAGTTGAGCAGTTCTGGCCATTGCAGGACGGGTTTGACTACCCAGGTAGCTAGACATTTCCTAGAAATGCTCGTACAAAATTTTTCGCTACTCGGCGCGCATTGTTTGCTGTCAAAAATGGAGTTTAAACGTTTTCCGTCGAGACACGCCCACGGCGACTGCCAATCACCGACACGTGTCTCGTCACGCACGCCTACCAGCGAGCCGAGCTCTGTTGCTGGCCAAATTTCCCGTGATTATACATGACCGGTATACGGCCCGTACCAACGTCAGACTAGCACATATGCCGTCCGATAGATCGCGCCACTACGTTATATATACACACCATGACCACCATCATGTCGTGAGTTTTACCCGTAAATAACTTCATTCAGTTACCGTTTGTCCTTTAGAGGTCAAATGACCAGTGTTATTATTGCATTCCTTCATATTCATAGAACTAGTCTACTATACCTAGTACCTACTACTACTAGTAGTACCTATACTTAGCTACTACCCCCCCCCCCCAGTACTAGTACTACTACTAGTACTAGTAATACTAGACTACTAGTACTCCTACTACTAGTTACTACTACAGTAATAACCCGCGTATAAGAACATAGATTTTAAGAACATGTTAGGCTAAAATTTCCCATTTAGACCCCTTTACATAAGAACCTGTTTTAGGCTAAGATTTTAAAGTAGGTTCTTAATTTTCCATGCAAATGAAGACTTAAAAAGAAACACAGGTAAAATAATGTATCATACAGTATGGTAAGCACTGAAAAACTTACACTGTAGCCCATCATGGGTAATAAATAGCAAAAATTGCAGCTCTTGTAAAAACATTTTAACACAATTTCAATCAAGTATAAGCTTATACATATTAAAAGTAGAAACAATTAAGAACCTATTTAAGAACCTTTTGAGCCTAATTTTTCAGTAAGCAACATTTATATAAGAACATGTTGAGGCTAACTTGGAAAAATCTATGTTCTTATACGCGGGTTATTACTGTATAGTACTAAAGCTACTACTACTAGTACGAATACTATATAGTATAGTACTAGAGATAGTACTACTACTAGCTCCAAGAAATGGTCTTTGCTAGGGTTAGAATACCCATATACTAGACAACCCCTGCTTATATAGCAAGCAATTTACTCTAGCTATTTCCTGATACTGACAATGACAATGGCAGTGGGAGATTGTAGTGGTAGGGGTGCATTAGTCCAACCCGACGCAGACCCCAGTAATGGGGGCGATGATAAACCCGCACCCTCACATTAGCAAAGCGGAGTTATAACGTCTGCATTTGCGGACTAGGGGTGCATATGATATAAGGCAAGGTCACATAGATGATAGAGATGCCAGATAATGTATTAATTGTTTATATATAGAAAAAGAAGCTGCCAGGAAATCATTAGATACTATATATAATGCTAATGAAGTAAGCTGTATTCAAATGCTGCACTTTCCCCTGCTGTCATCAAAAATCGAAAAATCAAAATACCAACTCGTTCGTACACTCAGGATACCACTGCCACAATGCTAGCACTATTTTTAAAGTGGGCGGAGCTCCGGGGAAATGCAGCGAATGGCGATTCTTAAACAGCGTATAATTTGAAAGAGGTAACTGGGCGCACAATCTGCGTACTATTTCGTATCACTATTTTATCAAATTTTCCATTAAATAATGGTCCGATTTTTCTTATGTTTAGAACTTTTTATGTTTGGAACTTATAGTGAAAACGCCTAAGACCACACGGAAATGGAACCACGGCGAAATCAAAAGCTTCGCTTTCGCCCCCCCCCATCTGTATGACCCCCCATGTAAGTCGCGAGTTCCTCCCACGTCCCAAATGTCTGCCCTCTGTGTTCCCCGCTAAAATTGCGGACTGTTCGCTGGCAGCTATGGATCCGTGCGCTGGCCTATGCATTCGGCGCACGGATCCATAGCTGCCAGCGCTGCATACTGTCGTAGGATATTCCTGCGGTCGCATGCGCCTTGTCGCGGAACTGCGCGCAAGATCTGCGCTCAGCGCTTAGGATCAACACCTCCTTTCGGCAACACTTCTCTGGTATCCTGTCTCTCTGGATTATACAAACTTACACTTGAAGTGTTAAGGTAAGATCTGCAGTCCTAAACAGTACTTGATATTCCACATCATGGTGCAGTTCTGTGACACTAGAAAAAACATCTCATTAACCTATTTAGCACAATACCAGTAAGACGAAAGACCGTAGAAAATTAATAAAAGCTACACACGCAATACAAAATAGTGATCCATTAGTACTACTAGTACTAGTAGTAGCTAGTACTAACTCAACTCTTAAAATACTTTTCCCATGTCACTGTCAGTAAAACAAGAATGAAGCAAGTCCTCATGTCACGACACATGTTACTCATGCCTACGCACTCAACTAATGAAATACATTTTAAAACAGTGAACACGGTTGAGGGTATATTTTAGTTAAAATGAGATTAGGAGTGTACCTTAAATAATCCTGATTAATGTAATGATAATAATTTAGCTGAGGCTGACGACAATAAATCAAAACAAATAATTATTGCCAAAACGACCAGGATCCTACATTTTACATACTTGGGGCTGGAGGCTTTCAATGATTCTATCTGTTTTGTTCGTTGGATTTGGAGAGGTGTAGCAGGAGGCACCTTTGTCGCTCTAGACGAACCAAAAAACCAATCCATTATTTTTTAGTCAAGCCATCTATAACAAGCAATGAAGCATAAGACAAGTAGAACCATTTTAACGTGGACTTAACTCGAAATAGATGGAAAACAGTCACATGTGTAAACGTCATAGCTTTTGGAGCTCATAAAACGTCACGACCAAGCTGCGCAGGTGCACAAGAGCGCATAGCCAACACAAGAAAATTACGAGCTTTGTATTTTTCTCCGAGTATACTGCTTAAAATTCGGCATATCGGAGATTAGCCACACCTTTGATCACCAATGCTTCTTTGGCTGTTGCAATAGTGTATGTAATTCATTAATTAACTTACTGAAGTGTAAAATATAAGTGTGAGGGTAATCAGATTGATTGTTCAATTTGTTGTAGGCCTAATTCGCGAGTACGGAGTAGGCCTAGGGCCGAGTGTAGTGACTAGTATGTTAGGCCTACTACTGTGTACAGGCTAATAGTAATACTGTGTCTTAATCCTAGCTAGTGTATGCCTAGACCGAATAATTCTGTCCCAGATAACGTTTTATATTTTGGATGCGTTATACGTCTCAGTGTCACTCAGGGATAGAGAAGATGTCCAGTCACGGACTATCTTATCAACTAACATCATCCTATCCAATCACCGTACTGGACATCATCTCTGGGGGGCTGGGACAGAACGGGGTGCATTGAAATTTCGTGAGATCGCATGCAAAATGCATGCGCTGCTAATGCGGCCCGTACGCCGGTGTCTGCGGGTAAAAAAGCCTACCGTTCCCTTTTACATGGCTTTACCTTGCTACCGATGTGCGTGAATATTCACTTCAATCGTTATTCACTTCTTAAAAGATTGTTTTTCAGAAACCCCGCTTCATTCCACTTTAGTAAATCGCATTCGCCATTCACAAACAATCAGACCAATCAGGTCGAGCCTTACAATAGCCTGGTTTTCTCTTGTATCTGTGGCGCTGCCGTAGGGTTAGAGGAAATATTTTATTCACGTGGGTACTACGTCCACTACTTGGAAGAAAATCACAATGGACTACTTTGAAGAAATTTATTCATTATACAAATTTGAAGCAAAGCCAGAGCGGAACACACGAACCCACGTGACTAAAATAATTTTCTCTAGCCCTCCTGCAGCGCCACAGATACAAGAGAAAACCAGGCTATTGTAAGGCTCGCTCTGGTTGGTATGATTGTTTGTAAATGACGAATGCGATGTACTAAAGTGGAATGAAGCGGGGTTTCTGAAAAACAATGTTTTAATAAGAGAATAACGATTGAAGTGAATATTCATTTCACGCACATTAGTAGCAAGGTAAAGCCATGTAGAAGGGAACGGTAGGCTTTTTTACCCGCCGATACCGCCGTACGGGCCGCATTAGCAGCGCATGCATTTTGCATGCGATCTCACAAAATTTCAATGCACCCCGTTCTGTCCCAATAACCATCACGAAAATATAAAAAAGGTTATCTGGCACAGAATTATTCGGTCTAGTGTAGGCCGTAAGTATATGTAGTATTCAGTGGCATTTAAAAATTCACGAGTCGTGTTTACTTGTACTACGTAACCTACCATTTTAACAATGCTTGTGAAGTTGTGTGGAAGCTGGTGATACATACCAACTTTAGCTAAACCAATATCGCCACATGATGCGTCTAAAAACAGAGGGAATTGCTCCGACCTGTGATTGGAGGATAAAAATAAAATTCGTGACGTTTCGTTTTTCATTTTGGCGTTTAGCCTATGAGGGATACCGCATGTACATATTTGCTAATTAATTAATTAAGCTAATCGCGCTTCAATAAACTCAAGACTCACAGCTAGGGATCATAGCTAAGACATGTATCTATAACAGCTAGAATTTATAGAAATGTAACTCAAATCGTTCACGCCATATGATAGGTAGTACACTTTCCTACCGGCCATAGCCACGCATGTAGCCGGCTGCACACAATAAGCGTCAGTATGCGCGATACCGCACGTGCATATTTGCTAATTAATTAGACTAATCGTGCTTCAATAAACTCAAAATTGACAGAGATTATAGCTAAGACGTGTCTATAATAGCTAGAATTTATAGAAATGTAACTCAAATCAGTCGCGCCATATGATAGTACCCTTTCCTACCGGCCATAGCCGCACATGTATTGGCCTATAAGCGATACCGCGCATGCATATTGCTAATTAATTAGACTAATCATGCTTCAATAAATTCAAAATTCACAGAGATTATAGCTAAGACATGTGTCTATAAAAGCTAGAATTCATAGAAATGTAATTCAAATCGCTCACGCCATATTGTGTTAGTACACTTTCCTACCGGGCGTAGCGTAATAAGCTAGCGTATGCGATGGGGGGGAGGGGGGTAAACAGCTGCATACAATCAAAAGCGTATAAAGGAGAGTGTACAACGGTGAAATGCTGAAACCATGTTGCAGTATCAGTCGAATTAATAAACTCCCTGTTTTATTTTAACGATTCTTTGCAGTATTATTGATCAGCTGTCCTACCTCGTTTATATAAAACAAACCGCATGTCCCTATGATGCCTCTACGCTGAGATAATGAGCGGTGGAAATTTGGTATTTTGATATTTTCGTCGAAAACCGACTCTAGATCAATTTTACTGCGACGACTGTCTCTCGTTTTGTGGACTGTATGTTGCTTCCGGTCGCCGCTGTGTAGCGCTGGCTCGATACGTTATTACTACAGCGTTACTACATCCAGCGTAAGGGGCGGGTCATCACCATGGCGATAAATAACAAGACGTTTTTGTGGAGTAATGGCTGCGTCAATGACTGGAAATGCGAGAAAAGATAGTAGAAGGAAAATAAATTTCATTGTCAATGAAGGACGGAAACACGCGAGGTTTCCCGAAGCTATCGCCAGAACGAGAGACAGTCGCAGCCACTACGTATCTCGAGTCGGTTTTCGGTGAAAATACCAGATTTTCACCGCTCATTGTCTCAGCGTAGAGGCATCGTAGGGACAAGCGGTTTTGTTTTATATTAGCAAGGTAGGACAGCTGATCAATAATACCACAAAGAATCGTCAAAATAAAACGGGCAAAGTTTATTAATTCGACTAATACTGCAGCATGGTTTCAGCATTTCACCGGTGTACGCTTTTGATACAATACGCAAGTGTGCTCAATACGAACGGTGCGAGTGAAAACGAAACGTCACGAATTCTATTTTTATCCTTCAATTACACGTGTGAGCAATTCCTCTGTTTAGACGCATGTATATCGCCAGCTTCCAATTTCCATGCATGGCTAATGCTAGCGATACATATTACATTGGACAAATTAATTTATAAGGCTTACCCTGGAAATAATGCTATTCTAGGGGCAAATAGCATGCTGTAGACAAAAGCCACGAATTTTGTCATAGAAAAGTGCAACAGCCTTAATTTCAGTGTTTCTTACCATGTGCATTGTGCCATTAAAATTCAGTGAAATATCTGCACACCTTAATTTATTAATATCTTACCTATGTAGGTAAACTAATTACAATATATGTAGGTAGGCATCACAAATGCTTGCCATGCATTATTAACTTAAAGCAAATATTTCATGTCTTTTTTCCAGCTGTTTTCATATTTTCTCGGCCGTTCTTATACATAAATGTACTTCTTGCGTAACACTAAGTGTATTTAGTAAGCCTAACTTGTCATAGAACACTTTAACATTGTTTTTTTCCAGTAATTTATGTTTACTGGTCTCTATTTCAAGTTGTTTGTGAAAAAGGATTGTTTATCTCTCTTATTGATTTCAACATCATTAGACACTCTGTGTCTGCACTGTTACATTTCTCTACATGTCAAGATAGATACCAGTCTAGAAAAATTTAAGGCACATAAATGCGTGTACTTGTTTTGTAGGGTCGTTTGCCTATTTCATTTTTCGAGAATCTCAAGAATGCAGACCTGCATGTACCTGTGCAAGATGGATGTTCATTTATTGTTTACACGTTCAGAAACTGTGAAGTTTTCATATTCTTCTGTACGTCAAAATTTGCTGCTTTTGTGTATGGAAGGCAATTAGTTGCTAGAACACTGTCAGATTATAAAAATGTCTAGATCACAATTTATTGGTTTAACCTGAACTTGATCGTTGTTTGTCTACTAATGACTCGATTGCCTTCCTATGTAGAAGTTGAACTACTATAATCTATACGAAAACTAGCAGAGTAAAGAATGGGCAATTTGTCAAGTGGACGTGTAACTAATCCAAGATTTGGACATTGGATGCCTTTACTAAGGAGAAGGCTCTTATTTGCGACCTATGCAGATCTTTACAAAAAATTAATGCCATAGGTTTACAGTGTTCGAAATAAGGGAAAAATTTTGGTTGTCCGACGGACAAGCTACAAGATATTTTTGCTTGTCCTGATCATTAACATAGAAATATAGTAAATGTGTAATACATTTAATCAAATTAAACTTTAGACCCAATATCTTACTTTGTAATTTTAATACAGTTCACTAACAGTTCAAATTAGGCATCAAACTTGAAAGAACACAAAGAAGCACAATGATTTAATTTAAGTTATTACTTGTCTTAACAAAGTTGAAGCGATGGTAGAAAATGATGAAAAATTGCTCTAAAAAGCTGCTTGTATAGTGGACAAGCAACTGGACAGGTCTACTTGTCCTCCGTGGAAATAGACAAGTGAGGACAAACTGATAGCCCTTATTTCGAACACTGGTTTATACGTCTCCATCCTTTCATAATGCTATTTCTTGTTATCACTTACAAGTATATATAGAGGTGTTATTACTATCAGAATTTGCATACCCATTGTTATGTGTCTTGTAAGTATATATTACTAGTTTTACTACCACTAGTGATATCATGATATATATCTAAAATATCTCTTTCTAGCCAGTGTTATATAAATACACAATATTAAGTACTGTTAATAATTTAATACTGGGCAATCCTATGGTTTCTCAAGTTAAAACTTTTAAATTTACTTCCAACAAGCCATAATGAAAAAAACTGTAAGAAAGCTTTATAGTATTTGTGTAATCTCTGAGACTCATTTAACTCATTTTCTGAGTTCTTTAAGGATCAATTAACCAAATCTCACTTCTCATTTTAGGATCTCTGATGCACAGCATACAAACCAAGAATAATCTGCGTCAAAAGTGTCGATTTACCTGAATTCGTTCTGCCTAAAAGTGAAGCTGTTTGAAACTCGTAGAAGTAGCAGACGTTGCCATGCCTGTTGCCACGACGACCGGTGGAGGTATACTAAACAGTCAAGGAACGATGAGCAATGAGGAGCTGGGAATCCGAGATGTTTGGAAGCACAATATGGAGGATGAATTCAAGCATATACGGAGAATCATACAAAACTATCCCTATGTAGCAATGGTAATAAATATAGAAACATTATAAGAACAATGACAAATGTTGCCATAGCTGTGATTATTAAAGCCGCGCAGTCTCGTATGGTACCATAATGATGCTATCATGAAATGATATATTGCAGTAAATCTGCACATTATTTTAATTCCAATGTTGCGCAAACAGACAAAAATGCAATAGCATCGGAAGAGTTGGGAGTAAGAATTTACTTATTATACCAACTTATGCAACGTGAAATAACAGTAAATGTATGAAGGTCTCAAAGTGTACATGTTAGGCAATGAGCTTCATTTATTAGAAAACTGTTGAGTTTTATGTAATGGGCATATGCAAATTGTACATCAAACGTTTCTTCGGTGTTGTTAAAAATGGTGGTCCTTGTCATTCTGCCTTTTAGGATACTGAGTTCCCGGGTGTTGTAGCACGACCAATTGGCGAGTTTCGCAGCACGGCAGACTACCAATATCAGCTACTACGTTGCAACGTTGACTTGCTGAGAATTATCCAACTGGGGATGACATTCCTAAACGAGCATGGCCAACCAGCACCAGGAATTTCAACGTGGCAGTTCAACTTTAATTTCAACCTGACGTACGTTTTGATTTGACCTGTGAAGTGGGCAGAACATGTTGCCCTTTGTCATTATTTAAAGTGAACTGGACACTTGTTTTTTTAGGCTCGAGCTTCCAACTCCCCATTAAAATTTATAATCTTTCATATTGGCAACGACTCTTGGTTCTCCAGAGAAGACATGTACGCTCAAGATTCAATAGACCTCCTGCAGAATTCCGGAATACAGTTCAAGAAGCACGAGGACGTTGGAATTGATGTCACAGAGTTTGCCGAGCTTATCATGACATCTGGTGTCGTTCTCAACGACAATGTCAAGTGGCTCTCCTTCCACAGGTAATGACAAAGTAAACCAACATTGATTGTTAACAATGGCTGTAGTTGCTAATCTTAAATTCATCCAAGCTTTGACAGTAGGTTTCTTTGTGCACCTTACAACAATGGCATCAAACTGTTGGTCAAGCGTGTGTATGATACTGTGGTGAAACTTTCCATTTTAATCTGACAGGTGGTCTCTGCATGTCTGTGTTACTATGATAGGATAACACATGCTTGTGTGGTGTTGTGTTATGATTTTCTGTGTTAATGTGCTAGGTTAGCACATGCTTGTGTGATGCTTGTTCGGTTTTTAATGCGCGTAAGCATCCCCATGGCAGGATGATAGAATTTTGTTGTTTGCTTGCAGTGGATATGACTTTGGCTACATGTTGAAGCTATTGACCAACACACAGCTACCTGCAGAGGAGTCAGAGTTCTTTGAACTTCTGCGAATATACTTCCCAGTCATCTACGATGTCAAATACTTAATGAAAAGTTGCAAGAACCTCAAGGGAGGCTTACAGGAGGTTGCTGAGCAGCTTGAGGTACAATAATTTTGCGAAATGCTGCTACACAATATTAAACAATGAGCCCTATCTGCATACCGCCGTCGTCCATGCAGATATCATGACGGTGCTATTTTTAGGGAAGTTGATAATCAGCTTGATATCGGTAGACTACTGTTAAGTTTGTGTGCATGGTAGGCAACTGGTAGCTGTGGCAACTGACAACTGTGTGAAAAGTGTTTACAGTTAGACTTTTTTTTTTAGCTCGAACGAGTGGGCCCACAGCATCAGGCCGGCAGTGACAGCCTACTGACTGGGTCGGCTTTCTTCAAGATGCGAGAGGTAAACCAGATTAAATTTGTCATTGATTTGTTTGAGGATATAACTGGAGTCAGATGAACATGCATAGTTTGTAGTCCTCAATTCGAAATGAGGGTTCATCTTCAGAGCTTAAAACCTAAGTGTTGCAATGATTGAGGCAATTTCTCAGGTGACGAGCATTTTGCTGGTGAGATTTAGAGTGTTTAACCGAGTGCTTCTCCTGTCTCTGCGCAGATGTTTTTTGAAGACAACATAGATGATGCAAAATACTGTGGTCATCTCTATGGGCTTGGCACGTCGTACGTGCAGAATGGGAACTCAAACAACTTCACTGAGTCCAGCCAGACGCCTGAACAACCCACGTCTTCAACGCCCACTACAACGTCGTCGTCATGACCCCTGGATTAGTCCGCCAGTGCCCGGAGGAACATGCGTCCTCATCTAGGTCGTCGATTTGTACAAAACCACACTAATTCTGTTTTGTCATTATGCGGGCGCGCGTGTGTATGTGTGTGTGTGTGTGTGCGCATGCGTGCGTGCGTTCGAGCGAGCGCGCACGCACGCATGCGTGTGAGTGAGTGCGTGCGTGTGTGCATGCGTGCGTGCATGCGTGCGTGCATGCGTGCGTGCATGCGTGCGTGTGCATGCGTGCGTGCGTGGGTGAGTGAGTGCGTGTGTTCGAGCATGTGTGTGTGTGTGTTTGCTTGTTGTTGCGGTAGTGTGCATGAGAGTGCTGTGCAGTGTTCGTGCTTTGTAAATACTGCAGCGAGTGACACCAGGTGAGGATTCGGATGTAAGACCGAACCGGTCGGCTGGATAAAAGCACCTAGCGGTGGGAAGCAGGGAATGTTACATAGCATATTCTAGCCGTGCATCACTCCGTGACTCGGCAACTCTGGAAACGCCACACAGTTGTTCGCTGGCCCTGCTAAGGTTTCTAGTGGAACTGTAAGCGTTGGTCAGTGTGCATACGTGTGTGCCTGTGTGCATATGTATGCTTGCTTAGATGAATGCATGTGTGGATGTGTGCATGTCTGAATGAGCGCATGTATGCATGTGTGTAAGTAGTGTGTGACAGTTTGACTGTGTGTGCAGTTATCCCTATTTCATTCATGGTTTGTGCGTGTGTGGGAGTATGGATGTGTGCTTGCATGTATGAAGTAGTTGAGTGTATGTGCAGGTGGGTTAGCAAGTGTTTAGGTGAGTGTATGAGAGTATAGGTGTGTATGGGTGTGACAGTGGATGAGGATGATTTAGTGTGAGTGAGTGAGTGAGTGAGTCGGCTTGAGTGAGTTTGAGTGAGTGAGAGAGCGAGCAAGTTTGAGTGAGTGAGTGAGTGAGTGAGTTTGAGTTGAGTGAGTGAGTGAGTGAGGGGGTGAGTGACTGAGTGCACAAGTGTGTGAGTGAGTGAGTGAACAAGTGAGTGAGCATGTGTATGTCTGGATGTGAATAATGTACCTGTTTGGACGTGAGTGTATGAGAATTGAGAATCGCGTATGCGCTAATTCAAATGATTTCTTCCCTGGTCCTGCGTTTAAAAAACTGCCATGTTTTCAAAATTTTGACCGGAGGGAGCGCAAGGGTATCGACTACCACCTGACGTTTTCTTGTAGATTGTTTAGATAATTTCTTGGAATGCTTGTTGAGAGAAGCACTGCCATAGAAGCTACTGGTTTGTGAAGCAGACCAACTTATCATCATGGTTATGCTTTAGCATTGCATGCAGGTCTCTCTTTACTTCAAATTTTGTGGCCATTTGTCCATATTGGACGATTGTCAATGACACTACTATCTGATTTGAGGCAGATGTAAATGCGTGCGGTACTGCTGGCCGATCAAGAAATTTGGGGCTTTATTTTGCATTGCTTGCATTCAACACCCAGCAGAAGATTACGCGGTACCGTCCCAAAGCAGACGAGTCTTTCTGGAGTTGAAGGAAGAATTGTGACTCTCGGGTCGATCTTTTAGCCGCAGTCTGAGCCAGCCTTTCTTGTACCTCCCTAGCACCAATGTCACCTGTGAATATATGGTCCTATATTGCTGTTTCATTTGTTCTTTCTGTGGCTATTAGAGGTGATACTAATATCGTTTTACAGTTCACAATAATAATACACAAGACAGCCATATCTGTTTATTCACAACGTCAGGTTGTCATGTGTGACCTGTTTTAGTTTCCCGATCGCACCTGCGCTCTTGTCTATCTGTCACTCCAAAAGGCAACTCTGTCACTCCCCGCTCAGACTGCTGCTTTTATCTGATGTAACGTAAGGTGACCGTTACTCTGTTTATCCTGTATAAGTTTATCATATGGTAGTTCATATAATTATGTGCGTTAAAATGAATAGGGGTGATATTTAGTTATAATCTTGTCATCTAGTCTCTTGTAGTAGTGCTTTCTAACAGTGGTGTAGACTGTAGAGTAGCAGCCTTCATACTTGGGTCATTCTGTTCTACTTGTTTTTTGTATCGGAAATGCGAGCCATTGTTGTCAATTTGAATAGACTGGATTCATCGGATTGTGTTCGTACGGAGTCCGTTTCTTAGGTCGACCCGTCTGAACGTTTGAAATGCATGCAAACTTTGTCACTACCACAGAAAATGTGTATTTTCTCGAATGAATTCGCGGCGACAGCCGTGTATGGAAAATCCGAATCTTTCCCTTGCATCGGAATGAAAGTAACCACCCTACTGACAGTGATATAGCCGGTAATAGTCATGAGGGATGATTCCGCGAAATCGCAATTTTAAACATTGTGTGGGGACTGATGTGATGGCGCTAGTGGTTGGGGCAAATGCTGCCAACCCTCTGACACTTTTATTCACCAACATTTGATTCGGAGACTGTGATAGCTTGTACATCATCTGTGTCACATTCTTTGCATAGACCTAACAGGTAACCTCTGGCTGCAATTGTGCATGTCTGTACGCACGCTAACACACTGACATTTGTTGCTGGTTAAATGATTTTTTGCAGGCAGTCCATTTACTAGATGGTTTTTGAAGTTATTACATATCTGTTCATTTCAGTGCCTAGGCATGCAGATCAGAAGTAATTTGTATGAAATTGAACTAAGAGTAAGGGACACCAGTCAACTATCAAAATGCACTGCCGCACAGTTGTTTTGCTGTGCTAATCATTAAGTTTTAATTGTAAACCGTGATATCTTTCTAGTGCTGCCACCTGTTGATAGCTTCAAGTGACAATCGTCACGTTAAACATTCCACATATTTACTGAATGGCAGACGTCAAGCCATCAATCTGTGCACAAGCTTTAAAGTTTCCCTTTTCCTCCTGTGCCGGTTTTCGTATTTCGTACAGGTTGGGCAATGACTGGCACGGCAAAGATAATCGAAATGTAGGAAGAGCAGTGCTATTTTTTGATGAATTGTGGTTACGAATTCTGTAGAGAGTTCCACCTGAAACCACTTTTAATTGTATACATGGTTTTTATATAAATTTCTAGCTGGGATCATGTACAATGGAAAATGGGTCAGTTTTATTGGACGATGGCCAGCTTGCCTCAGTTCTAGTGTCCATGTGTTGTTGTACTTACTATACATGTATCCAGTCAAATGGTGCCAAAGTTACATGGGGCAGAAGCGCTGTCTGTGGGTGTTCGTGAGTGTGCAAGAGCGGAGAAAGTGATGCGAGACGCAACGTGCTGAACACTACCAACATCCTTCTCTACGTGCATGCTTGTTAGGTTGGAGTAGCACCCCCTAGTAGCACGTCCATCATACCCGAGAGTGATGGCCATTGAGTAACACCGCGTGACCTTCTCTTCTGTTGAGTCACTGCCGTGAGGGGGCGCCCCCTGCCTGCGCAGAGTCGTCACTGTGTGACGTCATTGCCGTGCAGTGGCGCCCCCTCTATGTAGTCACGGTATGTTGCACCTCATTGTTTGTTGTCATTGTCGTAAAAGGTTTTAAGCTTTGGCCGCACTCCTTTGCTGCACCTTGCTTGTGTTCTGTTTAATTCCCGAATGAACGTCTGGAGAGACGATCTTACAGGATAGTAACCCGCCGTACGTCCTGACAAGGTTGCTTGCAGATGTCAACGTGTATGTCCTGCGTCCAACCACGCACATATCTGCCACCAGTTGTTTAAATCGCAAAAGTTTACTGTCCGTTATTACATTACACGAATGTCCTTATGGACCGTAAATAGACTAAGTGTTTGTTTCGATAATTTTCAAATTTCTATTACTTTTCGGTGCAGACAGAATGGCCGGGAATTTTTTTATTGCGTTAATTCGTTCACGAGTATGACAATTGAGTGTACTTCCGTGCAATATGGTTAGATGTTGGACCACTTCTACGCAACTCCTAAATGTCCCTGTGTACCTGTATGGAATCTTGCTGGACTGTGAGGGCTGAGAGTCCCTGATACTGTTTGGTTATGTATTCTCCGAGGCAACTTACAGCGAGACTATGTGTTATGGATTCAGCTAGTAATTCTCGTATAAAAAGAAGGGGTTGACAAGTGGTTTGAAAGAAGTGGTGAAAGTTGGTTTTTCTAGTTGCAAGGCTGCATAGTGCGACTTTTGGAATGCCGAGTCTTTTACTGCCTATTAAACGTTTTTCTCTGCCAACCAACCAGGGTGGCTGCTTCCTGCCTCGGCCACCTAAATTGTTCATTTTCATGCTCATTACAGAATACATTTTTGCAGCCTTTGCAGTAGGAAAAGCCAACTTTCTGAATACAAGGTCGTTGAATTCACGTCGGTTCCGCGTAGACTTTCCTGCTGTGCGCGTGCGTGTTGATTTCCTGTGCAGCTTAACTCCTAACCACTGAATGCTGTACAGAAGAACAGGCATAGAGGATCTGTGATGTGTAGATATTGTGGCCCTCGTATTTTTACCTTCACTCTTCGAAATGGTTGTCTTGTGTTTTATTTGGACTGTAAATAAAAGTTTTTAGGCAACCCCTTCTACATATAATATTGCATTAAAACCCTGTTACGTCTTTTAATTATTTTGGAAACTGCCTGTCATCGAGTGTGATCTTTGGGTGGGGATGCCGTGTAGACTGATTAAATAATCAAATAATTTTACACCCTGTTAATAACTTTTCATATGCATTAACCAAAACGTAGAGTGAGTGCATTACAAGCTGTTTACACTGCTACCGTACTGGAAATCTGAGAAAGCACAATTTATGCCAATAATAGGTAGAGCAGTATGTGTGTGTGGTGTGGGGGGGGGGCGGCAGTAAGGGTCATTGCACTTTATTCTGACAGTTTACAAGATAGGGAATAGGACGTCATTCTCGTATTGACACGGCTAATCGTAGAGGGGCAGTGCCTCGTATTGTATCGGGCGTGCTGTACAAGTTCATATAAGAAAGAACTGAGTCGTTTAATGGAGGTTTGTAGCCTATTCACCAAAGCTCGACCCCACCATTTCTCACTATAAAGCCTCACTGCCTTTCTTATTGGCTTGTAAGTTTTCACATTAGCATAATAATTGTTTGATATGGGTTATTGAACATTTAACCGATCGGGAGAATAATGATGTTTTACGTGTGCCCAAAATTTAGAGATATCAGATATGTATCCCAAGCCTATTCATTAGCGTACATAAACTCGTTAATATTAGCTAATTATCTTAGTTAATTATATAGCTACTAGTTCAGAATTTCTCAGAGACAACGCTTAAAGCCGAAAAGGGGGTTGAACTCTGATCATCCCTTTCCCTTGTGTGGGACCACCGACCCCTCACTCCCCAAGCCCCACGTGGAACTCCTCCAACCGTGTGTGTGAAACCCCCCAATTCCTCTTCCCAGGCCCTGCATAGAACACCTGAATCCACCTCCCCAATCTGATCCTTCTCCTCTGCTATCCAACAGTACAGGGTGTGCGTGATAAAGTATGTTCGAGAGACGCTGCGGTAAAATGCACCTCTTTCGTTAGTCCTTTGCTCTAGCGTATGTAGTCTAACATAGGATTAATACGTACCGACTCTATGCATCTCGAATACTCCATAAACTCCCCCCCCCCCCGACACTTGCATACAAATAGATCACCCTACCGTGTGGACTTTGCGCAGTATATGTATGCGCATAGAGTCATTCACTCGAATGAAGTTGTCCATTCACTCGAACAATAATTGCCTCTGCCAATCGGTGTACGTATAGTGACCACGTTAGCCTACATACAGGAACATATTGGCCTAGCTCTACCTACTGGATATAAACAAGATAGACGTAATCAAAGAACATCGCCTTTAATAAGATTATGTTTATTCATACAGTGCCTAATGTAACATGTAAGGTCCTAGCCAATGTTATTGCAACTCACTGTACGTAATACTTTTATCTCACCAATTAACACCTTCATAGCACTAAATAGCACTCTCAAACCATCACATATCACATGCCATAATACAGTACTTACATGGTAACACACATAGAACCGAACGTGTATGTAGACATTCTATACATACCTTCATGCTAAGGAGTGCTATATTTCGAGGTGTATTCATGCCATCAGACAATACTTGTACCTTGCCATATAACACCTGACTGCCACCTCATATATATGGCCTGCAGGTTACCATATGAAACTAGACACCACTCTCAACATAAATGCCACCTCGTACATAGTACATACCACACAATACTTGAATGTCTCCACAACCCTTACACATCACTATTACTCACTTCACGTGACACCACGTCTGATCCACGCGTCACCAGACAGTTATCAATAAAACATTAGCAATTCATCAAATAACATGTATAGCTATCAGGCCAGCACACACGTAATTGCTACGCACAGTACAAATATACACTCTTGCAATCACAACTGTACAGAGGTGGTCAACATGGTCTTTCATTTTGACATTTTAAAAGAATTAATGGTCTGGACACATTCATTTAAAAAACTATGAACACGAAAATCTACTCACCACTTTACGAATAGGGTCCACTTCTTAAAAAACGATACAAGTGGAATGACTGAAATGTGTGTAAAGTTATATATAAGAAAGAATCAGCTGTTTCTTACGTTAGCTTGAACAAAATAAAATTACGTTGAAAATAAATATTCGAATAATACCAAAAAGCTGCAATTCCACGTAGCTAACCTAGTCATTCCTACCTGCGATTTTACAGTGAATGCTTTTAATAAAATAGCTTGCGAAACAGTCCATATCTGCGCCTATTTTGAAAGCGTCTGGACTGCCAGCTTGACAACTTTTGATCATTGTCACTATGAATATTGTCACATTGAACTATTTCACTATATATTCCAGGGCACATAAAATGTGGAAAAAGGGGAACAGTTAAAGTTTTTATACAAATTAAAGAAAATTAGATCATTTTTATTAAAAATAAAACATAATTTATACCTGAAATGCTACAATATATATATATATATATGGTACGAGACTAGGTATGCAAATCACTCTCGATGTGACATCAAAGTTCCAGCCATGGTCGAAGAATATGATACCAAAGATTGAAAAGCCTGTACAGGACAGCAGCCAATAAATGTTCTCAACAGTCTTTAGATTATTTGCTTGATCGCTTACCGACGCAGATTTGCAGGGGATTAATCGATCGATAGTGACATGCTGGAAGCTAAACTGACAAGAACAACACACTTCAGCTTTTGACTTTTGCTGCAGACTCATTGACCTTGAGAGTCGGTCATTGACCTTTGCCATGGCCGTTTGAGCGTCCGAGCAGGATCGGCTTCGCGCACTCCATGATGTCCATTTCCGGGTCGAGGGAGCGGCCGAGACCTTCTAGTACCATGATGGCAAGCATGACAGACGCATAGTTACTGTCAAGCTTCACGCGGTGCCGGATCAGGCAGCTGAAGAAATCCCTCAGCAGCTCCGCCACCTGCATCTGTAACACCGAGAGCAAGCACAGCATGGCTCAGATGTTTGACTCGGTGACAAAATGAAGCTGGTATCTCAGACCAGAATATAGGTATCTAAGCTGGAGCGTAGACTGGGAATGTGGTGACTTGCCCGAGTTAAGCTGGGTTTACACTATCGAAAAGTCGACTAGTTGATCAACTTTTCAACCTTTCTATCAGACATTCAAAGCATTTACATTATTGACTGCAAGTCAGCTAACGTTTCAAGATTTCACCTGCATTGTGCGTGTGGGGCGATGTGGATACGAATTTTTGCATGTATTAATTTGTGCTAGGTGTAAACTGTGTGCTGCCGATAGCAAAAACGCATGTGGAAATTATCTCCCCCTGGGTGGAGGGACACCTCTCGATTGCTATTATCTGAGTTGCTGCATGGCAAAATGTTGATCAACTCGCTGACCAAAAGTCGAGAAAATAGAACATGTTCTCACCTCTCAACTAGTTGAGTGCTAAACTTTTACGTTTACACTGCCGACTTTCGGTAAATTAGTTGAAAAGTTGATAGTGTAAATTAGTAAAACCCACCTTTGGCTGTATTTGCAGTTGTATACAAGTATTACGATTGTCACCCTGATTGCTTGCTTACTGTGCGTGTAGGGGCGGGTGAGTACATACATATTTTATTATATTCTGTCCGGTTGGTGGCATATTAAGTCTCCTGCATTTGCAGTGGATACATTACTGTGATAGTCAGTTTGATTACCTGCTAAATAACTGCTATTATACTGTATTATAGTGTGTGTCTGTTTGCTTGCATAGTATCAGGACTGAGTAAAAACAAATGTTTGTTTTTACTCACTCCTGATAGTACGTTTCCTGTATATGGAGTGTATACATTATTGTGATAGTCAGTCTGATTACAATTCTCAATTTGATTGTTTGCTTAGTAACGCAGATGGGGTCGTTGTCGTATCAGGTACTACAGATATGTACCCGAGGTAGTTTTAGGTTGTTTAGTATTATGTTTATATTTTTATATAATTAGGAGGTAGTTTTAGGTTGTTTAGTATTATGTTTATATTTTTATATGAGGTATGTTTAGGGTTAGTGTTAGTGTTAGGTTAGGGTTAGGGTTAGGGTACACTTCTGTAGTACAAGTCTGGTACACTTTGTGTATACATATATGTACCTCGGGTACATATCTGTAGTACCTGATACGACAACGACCCCTTCAGCCTTAGTAACTGTTTGGTATGTGTGTGGGTGGTGGCATACATGTATTGTTATAGTCTGTCTGAGTGCTTTCTTGTGTTTCCTTTATGTGCAGTGAATCCACATATTAGGATGGTCAGTCTGTTTACTTGCCCAGTAACTGCTTATTGTCTGTAAGGTGTATAGACGTAGTGAGGCGTAGCCAGTCTGAATGCTTGCTCACTAACTGTTTCAAGGTTAGAATAATTGACAGCAGAAAGCGTTTGTATTGCATTACCTTTCCTAGGCGCACACTCTGCTCATGTGCAGTATCCACAATGTTGGCCATTTCTGTCCGGTATCCCTCCAAGTCAGTGCACTCGTGTGCCTTCTCTAGGAATAGATTGGCAACTTTCTCCCCCTGAAATTGGAGCATCGTAAGCAAATCAATCATACATGCCATTAGAGCATGGAAATTGATTGCACATGCTATAAGGTGCATGGCACTTGAGAAAAATTGACCATGATTCTTTATTGTATGCAGAGAATTCTCACACACAAAAATGCAACAGGGGTTAGTTATTAGCCATTATATTAGTCTTATTAACAACTATTTATCACAGACCATTGGCAAACTGTAACTGTACAACAAGGGAAATTTGTTTATACCCACGTTTATGATATGTTGTATAGTAAACAACATGTTCTTATGTAACAGCATGACAAACACTACACTACTACTACCTGCGACTAAATTTCTTCATATTTTTGGTAAGTTTCATTCACCCCAAAATAATTCCATTCACCCTTGGGTGAACCATTCATCAGTTTAAGAAGCACTGACCTACACGACACTCACCTCGCCTAGCACGACGGCAGTGAATACTGCACGCAGATTGTCAAGGTCGTGCTCACTCAGCGACGACGCGATACCGCAGTCGAGTATCACGAGGCGCGTTGGACACTCGACTGGCCGCACGTTGACCACGACCGTGTCGCAGATGTCCACCAACACCAGCTGGTTGTTCTCCTCCGAAACAAACACATCGGCGTTCTGCACGAGGATGTTCCCCGGGTGAAGATCACCATGAACGAAATTATCCACGAACACCTAACGGACCGGGAAAGAGTCGTTAAATAGTGTCAAATCGTATGCTGATATCATCACCTGGCTACGACCACACACAACCATCACACAGATTCCTGCATAATCACTACTAATTCTGTAGAGTGTTGGCTGGACGGGGTGGACTATCTTAAGGTAGAATGCCAGCAAAGGTAAAATGCACGATGGTAACATCTGTCAGTGAACATGTGGTTGTTCATGAATGTACAACACTAGAAGAAGGTTTCAAGAATCACGTGTGATTACCATTACCATTTGCAATATGGCATCTACTCCATAACTTGCCAAGGTCTCATGCAAACCCTTTGGTTGGTCCTCATGTGCATGTATGAACTTAGAGATTGGCTCCCCCTCCTGAAAATCATGATAAAATTAATTGTGCATAGTCATGGAATGGATGGTATTGAACCACGAATAATTAAAAAGATGACAAAATCCTGTTACCACGTACACATATTTTCTGAAACTGTACCTCAAATTTTTCCACGAGCACATGACTTTTCACGTAGGGTCTGACAGGACGTGGTACACGCACATTGGGATTCTGCTCAAAGTTTGCCCAGAACCTTTCTAGATTATTTGCTTCCACCGTGAAGTCAAGCTGCAATTACAGAATGGAAGAATTGCATGTTATACACATACATTAGGTAATTTTCTGTTCTTATCAAGTATAACAATAGACACAGAGAAATACATGAGAAGGTTGTAAGACCAAGTTAGTACCAGCAATGTGAAATATGTTCACAAGAAATTATATACATGTATGTGTGTGCATATTTATATGTGCAATATAGATCTGTAATGAACTTTTCACAACCAACTAATTTCCTAAGAGAAAATTTACCTCAATTATGAATTCTCTGTGCAATGAAATCAACCATACTACATTTATTGTATTCTGTATATCTAACAATACAATGAGATGTTTATGTTTTGGAACCTTGTTCAACTAGGCTATCATTTTTGCAGGCATTATTATATCACTCTTAAACGCATTTTATAAATATCCCTACTCTGACATCAAGGATTTACTCGAGTTGACATATCAATGTACGACTGCATCTGTACATTGATGTATCACACATTTTGGAGATTTGCTCAAACAACACTCACTCAATGAGAAGTTCTATGAATTACCTGATTCATCATTAGTTGGCTAAACTCCTCTATGCATTCATTTAGGCTGATCCAGCGCAGACTAGGGATCGTAAATTCCACAATATGGCTCAGACCACGTAGTATATTTAAGTCCATCACCACACTCCTGTATATGCCAGGGTGCAACACCTACAAAATTTCATCATTCGTTCACATTAAAAAGAAATTTAATGGGTTATGTATCAATGTATCCCGATTATGCATCCATGCAATAAATACACCATGTCATTAGTCAGCCACTGCAGTAATTTTTTTGATAATAAAATCATGGCTAATGTGCAGACCTAGCAAATAACAACAGCATATAGACATAGGGCTCAGCAGATAGCTAACTAAATAACCTAAATGTCTGAGGAACATAACCATACCCCCATGGATCTTGTTTCTAAGAATTGTTAATAAGAAAACAAACATCCAGCAATGGTACCTTGACTGCAACGGGAACGAGGCCTTCCAAGTTGTCACCTGGCTCTGAAGAAAGGCTACTGATGATGCTGCTATGTTCCTCTACATTGTCTGTACAGAGGCAAATACAAGTTAGATAATAAGATATGCACCTAAAGATAAGAAGTTATAGTTGGAAGTTAGAAGATATAGCACACCCGACGTTTTCATAGCAGGCAAACCTTTAATTCTGGGGATTTCAGTCTAAAACCCCCCACCTCTTTGATAGCGAACCCATCTCCCTATCCTAAGCGGATTCAAGATTCCACTCGAAGAGGGTTTAGCCTAGCTGATGATCTTAGAGCACTTGAACCCAGCACCTACTTACCTTTGGCTTCTGCCTCCTGTTTTCTCATTTCATTCTCTTGCCTTTCTCCCCAGTTTCCCCTGCATTCCTCCTGAGCATCATCGAGATCAGAGTCGTTTGTACCAAACAGTTTGGCGAAACCAAGCACATCAATACCTGCATCAGATGACCAGTGATGAATACTGGCACAAATAAAACACCTCCCAATAACAGCAAGCAGCTTTTCTCATTGACACTAGTATGTGTGATAAGCTCTAGTGACTTGCTGGAATTCACCCTACTAGCAGCAATACGGATCAGTGATCTGCCCACCAAAAAATTGCCATCATTGGATCTGACCTGATAGCAACTAGTGATCCATCAAAACAAGCCAATAAACTAACAAGTCCAAAAAATGTTCACCGACACTAAATAACAATTACGTACACTAAATGACCACATAATATATCCAAAACTATTGTGTAAACATGCAATTTACATTGCTATAGAAGTCAACGAATAGGCTCCACATAAAAACGTCTGTGCAAATGACATCAGAACATGTAACAACTATCTGATTAGTATGGCTACCTTCATCAAAGTCGATGTCATAAGGATCAGGTTCAAGGCTCTCGTTAATCTCCTCGAGAAGTGACTCATCAGCTACAAGGTCAGCTGGCATATATGCTTTGTAAACCTGCATTACACCCATTTGCATGTAACCATTTGCAAGTGTTATACCAGATAGCTTTAACCAGGTGCCATTAGCCTCGTTCACACGAGACCTCGTATTTATGAAATACGGTATTTGCGAAATAGCGAATCTGAGACAAATACGCGGCTGAGCGTTCACACGCTGATTCTCGGCTCCAGAAATACGGTATTTGCGAGCTGCAAGTTGCTTTAAACAATCAAGCAAACAATGTGAAATAAACAATACAATGCGCACCAACTGCCGATAAAATACGTAGACTGGTCCGTGCTCGACAGTTCCACTCGCGTTACACTGGAACTGTCGAGCGCGGACCAGTCTATAAAATACGCGGCTTCAGAAATACGGTATTTAGCGTTCTCACGAGGAAATGCGCGGTCCAAGAGATCCGGTATTTCTCAAGCACGGCAAATTATTCGGGGTCTGGGAAGATGCGTATTTACATCAAATACCGAATCTGTTTAGATACCGTATTTCTTGGACCGCGCATTTTGCCTCGTGTGAACGCTAAATACCGGATTTCTTGCTACGTGTGAACGCGGCTAAACCTACGTGTTTACAGTTTTCAACAAATCATAACCAAAGTTGTCTCAGACAAATAGTCCAGCTAGAATGTCAAATGTTACATAAAGAACACAAATGACATGTATAATATATATTTTACTTTCATGAATATAAAAAATGATTAAATTTCATTGTTGTGCAAGAACAGACTGCAAATATATAATGACATACATGATGTGCAGCATGTATGAGATTCACCATTTTTTTCTCGCAACAACATCACACAAAACAGCAGCCCTACCTGAGCAATGCACCCCGAGCCGATCGGATTTCGGTTATTGTCGAACTTCACGAGAATCTTACGCCAGTTCTTGCCAAACGCTCTGCGCAGGCGTTGTTTCGTGAAATACCACGAGTGAGGCTTCACGGAGCGCTGCAGCCGCGCAAACGTGTGGCAGAAGTCGGCGGAGAACAGGTCGCGTCGCGTGCTCGCCCACTGCGCCAGCTTCATCACCGTCGGACCCGAGCACTCGACAGCAAACAGCAGGCAGCGCAGGTAGAGGCGCCGCGTCGCGTCAAAGCCGTACGCATACAGCAGCGGGTACGCGAGCAGGAACGGCGCAAACGTGAGCAGGAAACGCAGGCAGCGGCGCAGCGCGAGCCACAGCCAGCGCAGCGTCATGGCGGCGCGCAGCAGAAATCCCTCCTTCTTGCGCAGAAAGACGACGTTCTGATTCGGCGGGTTCGGGTCGGCGAACGGACGATCGAGGACCGCCGTCGGAATGTTGCGCAGGTAGCTGAAGAGGCCAGACGAGATGAGCAGTGACGAAAACCTGGAGCGCCGCGCATTCTTGAGGGCAACGCCGCCCGACCAGCTCGCTAATCGTACGCTCCAGCAGGCGCGCACAGTCCGTGACGGCAACCGTGGCCGACCGCTGCCGCTGTACGTGTAAAACGCTCTAGTCACGCACCCCCGAAAAGACACGGCGGGTCTTCGAATGAGAACAGTCAGCATCATGTCTGCTGTGGCATCGATGAATAGGAACTCCTCTTGAAAAGCAATCTGCTAATCAAAGTAGAATTTAACTTGTTACAAGGAGAATTTGGTGCAATAATTTTATACCTTCATGATTTGTTCAGAAGTCTGTTGTTCACAATACAAAACTTTACAAATGGTTGCTGAGAAAAGCACGTGTTGATTCATGTAACTTGTAAGCAGACCTGTGGTGCTTAGTAGTTTATGTTTGTAAAGAATAAAATAAATAACAGTCAAATTCAAAATTCCAGGGTTGTGTAAATCAGTGGTTCATTGGTAGGAGCAGATTTCAGATGTATCTAAATAATGCCACGATAGCAGCTAGAACTGAAAGGTGGGTGACCAGGGACACCAGCGTCAATAGGAACAGGACGCACGTCCTTGATGTACGGCCTAATTTATTGCCCCCTTTCATGGGTTACAGCTGTAAACTGAATTAATTATTGCCAGTGTAACAACTTCCTTCTTCTATTTTCTGGATCCTAATAATTTATAACCAGGATAAAATATAAGCACTTATTCAATCATATTCCAGTAACTTGCCGATAACGAGCCCAGCCAGAATACCTCACACAAAGCTAGCACGTTAACACACACTCGCCCAAAATCAGTCAATGTGTAGCGTTTTTTTCCCGCTGTGGGGTAGGCCTAGTGAGTAAAACGTGAGTGGGCACCTACCTGGTACTAGATACAATAATGTAACCCAACAAGAGTAGGGTTACAAAGCGTCCCTATCCTTTTGTGTGGAGGAACGCCTGAGTGAATCACTCATGCAGGTTTGCTGGTGCGTTTTCAGAAACTAGAACTTCCAAACTGGGTTTATTCTCAACACGAACCCTTCTCCACTATCTTGGAACTTACTATGTATCACAATACTCTGTATTAACTAATATAACCTGTTACAAAAATTCGAAGTGACGAGCGGCGAATATACTGAGCGCCATTTCTGTTGACCTGTGACGTACGAATTCCCAATGCGCATAGCGATCGGCAAACCCAGCGCCCTCCAATTGGTCGGTGAATCCGCTCTTCAAACCGAAGTACGTCACAGGTCAACAGAAATGGCTCTCAGTATATTCGCCGCTCGTCACTTCGAATTTTTGTAACAGGTTATATTAGTTTAATACAGATTATTGCTGAGAGGGTCTATGTCCCCCGGGGTACTGCCGAAAAGTAACCCTGGTACTATCTAATATGCCGGACCATACCTCACCTACTCCACTAACGAGTCTAGGGAGTCACCTACGCCTACTGCCTAACCCTAATCCTAACCCTAACCATATCAAATACTGACCAGGGTACGTTCCGGTATACCGGACCGTACCCAGGGTACGTTCCGGCAGTACCCTGGGGGACATAGACCCTATGAGTATGAGCCAGAGTATTGTGATACATAGTAAGTTCCAAGATAGCGGAGAAAGGTTCGTGTTGAGAATAAACCCAGTTTGGAAGTTCTAGTCTCTGAAAACGCACCAGCAAACCTGCATAAGTGATTCACTCAGGCGTTCCTCCACACAAATGGATAGGGACGCTTTGTAACCCTACTCTTGTTGGGTTACATTATGATTATTGTATCTAACCTGGTACTGTGGTACGTGCGGATACGCAAGGACGTTACACAGCCCTGACCGTCGGCGTCACCCGCACTGCACTAGTACCAGAGTCAGACAAAGGCTCTCTGGCAGAGCGCCTCAATGCTACTATAGGCCTAGTATATACCGCGAGACAAGACTGTGCAGCCACAAAATGAATGAACTTCTTCTGTTCTTCTTGCAAAACTCCCCTCCACGTTCAGTTACAATGTACGCGTTTTTATACAAAGTTCAATTACATCTACTAGATAATCTACTAACTATCATCGTCATCAATGATACAACGTACTAACGTTTAATTTAACTAGGTAATTAGTACTAATTACCAATAACTATATCAGCACATATTCTGAAACCTTGGTATATTTCCATTCACCAACAACAACAAACACTGCACGGTCAGATATCGCCACCTACCGGTAGTTGTTGTCACTAAAATTTGCACTTTTATATTTAGCTAATTTATATAGCTGTATTATTTTACAGATATATAATATCAGGCTGATAATATACAGGTAACAGATATACATATATATATATATATATATATATATATATATATATATATATACTCCGACAACTCCAACCGACATTTCGTGGCGTACGATTGGACACCACGTAGGCATCTCCACGGCCCCTAAACGTTTTTGGGGTGGCGCGCCTCATGGCTAAGACGTAGTACGTGACTCCTACAAGACAACCTCAAGAACATGCTGTAATCCGAGCGTGACATGCCCATATCGCCGGCGCTACCGCGGTCGTGTGGCCGCTACGCGATGAAACTGGCACTACTGCCGGTATAGAGTTTGTCCACAAGCTTTTTTAACGAAGTGTCGTACGGCGCTACCACGTGGGGCGGCGGGTCTAGTCCTGCAAATGGCGATTGCTGCCGCTTACGGCGGCCTGGCTGCATACGTGACATATTTTGAGCAACCCCCACCCTGCCCTGACCCCCCGCTGGCTGCTGCCTGGCGCGGTCCGTGCAACCGACACGTCGTGCGACACATACGCTGGCGTGGCCCGCGCGAATGTTTTTCCGCCAAACGGAAGGAAAGGATTTAGGCGCGCTTTTCATTGGCTGGAATTTGGCAAGATTGTCACTCCATGCCTTGTCGCGCAAAACCCCATTATCTACCAAAAAACTTTCCCGAACTTTTCTGTAAGTTGATGGTTAAAGTAGTTTTCAGTATGATTTTCTTTAAACAACTTGGGTTTGAGTGAAGTTAATCCGCAAATATCATGCCGTTTGGGTTATGAGAGGTCTAGCTTATACTTATAGTTAACTTATAGCTGCCGAATTTCTGTTTAATGTTCGTGCCGTGTCCGAGTTAGTTTACGTTCGCTGACCCTCAGGTTAAACACTAGGCACTACTACTACGATACTACGTACTAGTAATACTACTACTAGCGTCACCCGGATACCGGTACTGTATAGCTCTAAGTACTGTCGTAGCCCTAGTATTCTAGGCCCTAGTATAGTACGGCGTAGCCTAGTAGGCTGAAGGGATCCGTGTCGTAACAGGTACGGCCGAGGGAGGCCAAATAAGAACATGGTCCCAATAAAAGCAATTGCCAAACCTAACCTAACCCTAACTCTAACCCTAACCCCAATCCTAAGCCGCTAACCTAAACCATAACCCTAAACCTATTATATTGATGAATCATTATATTTTATTTATATTGATTGTAAATGACCTTGGTTTTATTGGACCCATGTTGCTCTATCCTTGAAACCGCAGATGGTGTACCCGAGGTACATATAGTATACACAAAGTGTACCAGACCTTGTACACAGAAGTGTACGCCTACACCTAACACTGAACCCTAATCCCTAACCGCTAACTCTAAGCCCTAAACCCTAACGCTAAACATACCTCATATAAAAATAATAAACATATAATCTATATAATACTATTTAAAGAAAATCGAAGCAACCGAATCAGGAAGGCGCTATACTTCTTTGCTATGTAAACAACCGATTTGGGAAAAAAAATTTCGCTGCTGGCCGCGAATACTGCCGAGCAAGGTGGTCGTGCGTGCCAGTTTTTACACGTAGGCTATCTGTAGATACTGCTGGCAAACGCAGCCGCAGCAACAAATCTCGCCCCTGCCGCGGCAGCGCGCAACAAGCAAGCAGCGCTCATAATGTCTATGTCCCCAGGTCACTGGTCGAACGTACCCTGGGCTACGGTCCGTATAACTACGGAGCGTACTGTGGTCAGCTATTTTGATATGGTTAGGGTAGGATAGGGTAGTGTTCGGGTAGGTAGGGAGTAGTGCCGTAAGGCACTCCCTACACTCGTAGTGGAGTAGCGAGGTACGGGTCCGCATATTACATAGTGCCAGGCGTTAGCTTCCGGTATTACCGAACCGTACCCAGGCGTACGTCCGGCACTCACACGGGGACATCAGACCTCGCCTCTCACGCAAGCATGCAGCACAAATGCCGCCGTAGCGCCGGGAGCCCGGTGTAGGTTGGGACGAAACTGCGCGATGTACGCTTCCCCGCTATACGATTTCGGCGCAAACCCGCCCTCTCTTCGGCGCGCGAGCATTCGTATAGCGGCAGCGCGAATCACTACATACAGACAACCGCGCGTCGCCGTGCGCCCAGCTCCCGCGGACCGTTTTAACCGCTCTTGCGGTCGGGACCAACGCATCTTTTGCGCAACGCCATCCTTGTACCCGTCTTCTGGATCACATAAATGGCCTTAACAAAGCGGGATACATGTATAGTAACAGCATAGAAATCGGACCCCTATTATATATGGACTATATTCTAGGAATTGGAGATGTATAAAACAGTTACAAAAATCGCTCAGGCATGCTACAGATTGCAGAATCAAAAGATTCCGCACATTATAAACAAAACAAACATCAATCGGTATAAAATTCACAGTACAAAGAAAGGATAGAGAAGAAATATAGTTATTAGGTTCAACTATAAGTACTAAACAAGTACAATTGAACCAAATATTACATATCTAGAGGATTTCATTAATGATAAAGGAGTTAAGGACATGATAAGAGCCCGAACTGAAAAATGTAGGTTTACGATAGATTGAGGAAAGTATTATCAGGGACAGAAAGCAAAAGTTATGGAAATCTTACTAATAGAACACAGAGTGAACTTATAATGAATGCACATTTTACCCTTCCTTCTCTCAAATAATAGTGAAACAGTGGACCTAAACTATGCCCCAGTCAACACCATCACGACGCATCCCCCGCGCACATGACAATTCATAAACAAAGTGGAAAATAGATCATGCGTTCGTTGTGGACCCACTTTTGTCAGGATTTGGGAGAAGCTAGCGAATTGACAACGAATGCAACCAGCATGTTGCTAGCGCGCTGGCTGCAACGCATACTAGGGCGCATAAACAGAGCGTATACAGGGCGCACGATGTTAAAAATCCCAAGAATGCCAGCGTGTGCTAGCGCACAGAACGAATGGTCCGCGCATGCACGCGCGCATGCACCGCGCATTCACGCCAGCCAGCGCACATCAACGCACAGCCACGCACCAGGTTCACTTCGGATAGAAGGGGATATGGTGTTGTGAGGCACCCTCACCCATAGGACATTGAGTATATTTTGGTCCAGGGCACGATGCCGGAGAGTGAGGGCAAGCTTCAGGCCAGGGTCGAGGCCTCTCTGTAGGTTGTATTTCTGCTTTGTGATCCTGGACCACTCGTGTTAGTCAGCTCGTCGAACATCTTCAGGGGCATGCCTCATGAAGTCTGAAGGCTCCTGGGTCTGCGTTACGGAGTTCAAGCAAGTAGGCTGAGTCATAACAGGCCAAACTGTCGTCGCCTACCGATCCACGGTCGGACCCAGAACCTCTGTTGCACTTCTTCTCTTTCTTCTTTCTCGCTGATGACAGGACTTGGTGAATGCGCATTCCATGAGGTTCTGCTGATGTTGTAGAACCGCCGATTCGTATTGTATCGCAGCCTGTCGGGATCCTCCATCTTCTGAGGTGGTTCTCAGACACGATGCAGCAGGAATTCTGGTCATCACCAGAGGGTCGAGGAGAAGTGATGGATGAAGAGGCGTGGGGCGGCGACCCGTTTATATACCCATGGCGAGCACGCTGCGTACACTAGAACACGCTAGAAGAGACGCTGGGCGCCTACAGACTCGTTCAGCACTCGTTCAGCACGCCATTATTCCTGCATGTTCGCTGGCATTGCTTAGAAGCATCGCTAAGTTGCACTAGGTGTTCCGTACACCTGCGCCCGACGACATACAACGAATCCCATCGTGGCCTCCGCGTGGTCTGGCGTTGGTAGTGCGGCTCTGCGCGTGTCTGGCGTCCCTCTGGCGTGTACCTTCATGCTCGAGCCCCCCCCGTCCGCGCCACTATTTGAGCATGCTCAAAATCTCAA